TCTGTCAGATGTACCCAGGGTGTCTGTTAGTAATAGGTACATTTCCAGAGAGGCATTGCCTGCTGGGGTGCAGCTATGTAGAGAGCTGTATAACTAGATGGCGATATGCTATAACGGTACTACGCGTCCGGTTATTTCAATTAACGTTAGCACATACGTAGCGGTCATTGGGTAGGTGATGTAACCATCTTGGCTCGGGGATTGGAGTGTACCTCTGTTAGCGTTACCCGCCGCTAACCGGTCGGCTTAGAGCCGTCACAAACACCACACCTCGGCGGCAGCACTTGGATATGTTTTTTCCGCTGAGAAGATTTGTTGACACACTCTATCCACCATGAAGTCTTTTGCAAGCAGAGAAGCGTCGCGCCTCTTTTCCCGGCCGAACCTTGCCCAGCGAGCGTCAATTGCCGGACGGAGGAGCGCCAACATCCGCGTACACGAGCAAAGAAGAGGATTCCGGGAAACAAGAGGGCTGTTGGTGGTCAAGCCGTACTTGCTGGCGGACATTGGCGAAGGTTAACAGGCCAACGAACATATACATTGGCCAAGGCTAACCGTAGTGCGTCTAGGTATCACCGAGTGTCAGGTCATCCAGTGGTTCGTCAAGCCTGGAGCGCGCGTCGAGCAGTTTGACCCCATTTGCGAAGTGCAATCGGATAAGGCGTCGGTTGAGGTAAAAGAAGGACTATTTATGCACGAAGCAGCCGCTAATATCAGCAGATAACCTCTCGATTCGATGGCGTCATTAAGAAGCTGTACTATGAGCCGGACGACATGGCCAAGGTTGGAAAGGTAGCCTTGTTCCCCCCCTCCCCCCCAATTTCTCCCAAAACTAAGCTTACTTTCAAAGCCATTGGTAGACATTGACATTCAGAGCGAGATCTCTGCTGCCGACGAAGCTCTGCTTAACGGTGGTTCAAGCGAACAACCAAAGGAAGAACCATCAAAGGCGACAGAGGCACAAGAACAGGGCATTGAGATTGATCGCAATGATACCAAGGCTGCTACCGGCCATGTTCCAAAGTCAGATCAGAGCGCGGCTCTGCCATCAGAATCATCTCAAGCAGCGGCGTCGCCAACACCACGACAACCGGGCAAATATGCGTCCCTTGCTACACCAGCAGTACGGCACATGATCAAGGAACACAAGCTCAGAATTGAGGACATACAAGGCACAGGAAGGGAAGGACGTGTGCTCAAAGAAGATGTTCAACGGCACATTGAGTCTGCTAAGCAGACCGCAAGCGTACCACGCGTCACAACAACGCCCACGCCTGTCCCAACCCAGCAACTAGAAGACCAGATCAAGCCTCTCACACCTGTCCAATCCGGCATGTTCAAGCAAATGACCAAGTCCCTCTCAATACCACACTTCCTCTACACCGACTCGGTAGATTTCAGCTCCCTCACCTCGCTACGCAAAAAATACAATGCAGGCCGTGAAAAGGCAGACAGAATCACACCACTACCCGTCATCATCAAAGCCGTCTCTCTAGCATTTCAGCAGTTCCCCTTGCTCAACTCGCACCTTGACACTAGCACGAATCCCGACAAGCCGCAGATGATCTTAAAGGGAAGCCACAACATCGGCGTCGCTGTCGACTCGCCTTCCGGTCTCCTCGTGCCTGTCATCAAGAACGTGCAAAATCACAGTATCGCATCTCTCGCACAAGAGATCCAGCGATTGAGCTCGCTCGCCCGCTCCGGCAAACTCACCTCTGCCGACCTCACCGGCGCCACATTTACAGTCAGCAACATTGGCAGTATCGGCGGCGGTACCGTTGCACCCGTCATTGTAGGACCGCAAGTGGGTATACTGGGAATTGGTAAGGCGAGGGTTGTGCCTGCGTTTGGGGCGAACAGGGAGTTGGTGGAGAGGGAGGAGTGCGTGTTTAGCTGGAGTGCGGATCATAGGGTTGTGGATGGGGCATATGTGGCGCGTGCGGCGGAGGAGGTGAGGAAGTGTATTGAGGGGGTGGAGAACATGCTTGTGAGGATGAGGTAGATTGGGGGTTCTAAAAAAAGTTTGATATAGGTGGATATATACATATGCATCATGGGCGTGATAGATGGTTTGTCATCTGCAGGTTTCAATAGTATGCGTTCCGATATACAATGGAGTTGTACATTTCTATCATCATCTTTTTTTTTATTTTGCTCGTTGATGAGAGTGTTTATATCGAGAGCTGCTGCAGCGGGCATACCGACGCACCGTCATATGCTCTCTTCACTTGACCTTCATCGTACTTGGGGCTTGTCATGATCTCGATACGCTGTGCAGATGGTGACGAAGCTCAAGCCGCGCCCTTGAGCACCTGCTCAAGACTACTCTTACTATTCGCATATGTCTTCTCCAGGTAATCCTCCTTCTTATCCAAGTTCGCCATCTCTTTAGTCAGCGCCTCACTCTCCTGCTCCAACCTCTTTTGCACGTCTGGGATAGGTGTGCAGACGAACCTTTGTTCAGAAAAAAAAATCAGCTCCCTTCCTATCATTTCTTGATGTTCTTCAGATGCCCCGCGGTCACGAGGCAAAAGCGAGAGATGGTAGTAAATGTGTGACTTACATCTTCCCAACGCCCTCGTACACTTTTGTGTCTGCAGGCAGCGACGAAACCTCTGACGAGGTAAGCTGCAACATGCGGCTTTCCCTTGCTCGAGCGGCTTTTTGCTGCTTCACGATGACGAGTTGTTGTTCAGCAAACGCCTTTTTCTGGCTGATTTCCTGTAGGACCTGCGTTTTTTTGTGTCAGGTACAACACACAAAAAACATTCTTTACTCGGTATCACGCGTTTAGAAGGCTGAACACACCTTTTGCAAGGCCTCGTTGGGCATGGACATATTTGCGAGGGTTTTGGGGGGGTTTTGGCTAATGGGGACTGCCACGACCCTGGCTGGGGCTCGTGAAGTAAGGGCGGCAGGAGGATGGGTTGGTTCAAACTCGGTTCGGTGGGTGGCGGGGTTGTGATTGGCTGGTGGGGGCTACGCTGGCGCCCCTCACGATAGATGGACTGGGATGAATGTTGATAGTATTTGGGAAAGGCTAGGATGCAGGTAGGTTGTAGGAGATGCATATATCTAGTACTACGATTGCTTTCACTAGATACTTGCAGCAACTGTCTCCTCGGTTGCCGTTGTCGTCACATTGATAGCCGACCTTGAGGGCTACAACAACGCGGGGTCATATCTAGGATACTTGGGACAAAGCATTAGAGCTCAATTGATTAAAAGTTTCAAGCTTTAAATACAACCCTGCGGTCGTTTTACTATTTCGCATCCAAATTTCCTTTTTTCTAGTGCCGTTGTGTTTTGGCCGGCTTTCGGGAAGCTGCCACTTCCGGCAAGTCCGAGACTGGATACGTATAACTGTCATCGTCCAGCAGTGAACGCATGGTAGCGTATCGAATTTTTTTTCGTGCTTTTCGTCCATTTTTGCTTTTCTCTTTCGGCGCCAGCATGTCTGGGCTTCTCTCTCGCCTCCCGTCGATAGCGTATCCGCCTGAACAGGACGGCTACTTTTCCCCGGTAACAAGCACACTGGACTGGTGTGAGGAGGTGTGTTGAATTCGCTCTGGCGACCATGTTTAGCAGAGTGTGTTACTGACGAGGCTGCATCAAGAACTATGTTGTCACTGATTTTATTGCTGAAGCGGTGAATACTCTGACCAACCTCTTGTTCATATATCTAGCCACAAAGGGCATTCGCAACTGCTTGAAGTATGGGCACGACACAGTCTTTCTTGTTAGCTTTGTTGGCTATTTGCTTGTCGGGAGCGGCAGCTTGTTGTTTCACGCGACATTGAAGTGTACGTCTAGCAACAGAGAGAGGGGGGCAGAGAGAGGGTGAACCCATTCCTGATGACGACAGACCCCATGCAGCTTGTCGATGAGCTTTCGATGATTTACACGACATGTCTGATGAACTATGCCACGTTCTCCTACGGCAAGTCACGACTGTATTCCACGGTGCTCGCCATCTGCCTGACGTCGCTGGCGGTGTTCATCACGCTCTACTATCACTACCTGCAAGACCCAACCTTTCACCAGAATGCATACGCAGTTCTTACAGCGGTTGTGTTCTTTCGCGCCCTCTACGTAATGGAGGTCAATATCCGGCCGCGCTTCCGATCACAGGAGAGAGAGGCAGCGAACCCGCGTCTGGACGGGAGTGCAAAGGCAGTGCGACAGGAAAACCAGCGAGACGAAGAGATTCTGAGCACGATGTGGAAGATGATTGGCTTTGGCCTCAGCATCTTCCTGGGTGGATTTGCCATTTGGAATCTCGACAACGTCTTCTGCTCGCGGCTGATCTGGTGGCGGAGGCAAGTGGGCATGCCTTGGGGCTTCGTGCTCGAGGGGCATGGATGGTGGTACGTATGCGCAACGTGCTTGCAGCGACACAGACTCACACCGACAGGCACTTGATGACTGGGCTGGGGGCATATTTCTACATTGTGTGGGGCATCTGGCTCAGGCACTGTCTTAATTACAGACAGGACGAGTACGAGTTGCAGTGGCCAAATGTGTGGACGGTGCCCGAGGTAAGGGCCAGAGGAAGGGATGCGAAGAAGGTGGCGTAGCATGCTGCTGGGGTTGCCATGGATGTAGTGTACTAGTACGTAGATGCGACTACTGTTTGGTACCTGTCGGGCGCTGTGAGTTTTTTCTTTTCTTTTTTTTCGGCGTGCGCAAGGAGGCCAATGTATAGATGCAGGCATACGTGTAGATGCACACGAGGCAGCGCAAGACATGGCCTTTGCTTATGCCCTTTGTTGTGCGTGGACATATCGGTAGCAGCACCAGATTATGTCCAAAGCTGGTGCCTGTTGTGCTTAGCGCCGACGCGAGGGGGCCTGGCCTGTGCAGACCCGCACAGTTTGTTTAACTGCTCCCCTTCACACCGCCTCTCCACATCACCAACACCCATCCACCCGCCCCAAACACAGCTCCTCACACTCTCACCTCTCTACTTCCCATATCCCACACCCCAAACCGCCATCATGCGTGAGATTGTACGTATCCGACCCTCCCTCGAGTCCAGCGCGTGGCGCAACCTTGCCCCGCGATCTGCATTCAGGGACAACACGAGATTGCAAACAAGACAGCTGACAGCCATTCTCTGCTACAGGTTCACCTTCAGACCGGTCAATGCGTATGTTTTCGCTCCCTGCAAAAGCCGTCGACGCGGCTTCTAACACACTCTGCAGGGTAACCAGATTGGTGCCGCCTTCTGGCAGACCATCTCCGGCGAGCATGGTCTCGATGGCTCTGGTGTCTACAACGGCACCTCTGACCTCCAGCTCGAGCGCATGAACGTCTACTTCAACGAAGTACGTCGCCCCCTAAAGGTCCGACGGAAAAAAAGACCAATACTGATCTGCAGCAGGCCTCCAACAACAAGTTCGTGCCCCGTGCCGTCCTCGTTGATCTCGAGCCCGGTACCATGGACGCCGTCCGCGCTGGTCCCTTTGGTCAGCTCTTCCGCCCCGACAACTTCGTCTTTGGCCAGTCTGGTGCTGGTAACAACTGGGCAAAGGGTCACTACACCGAGGGTGCTGAGCTTGTCGACCAGGTCCTCGATGTCGTCCGTCGCGAGGCCGAGGGCTGCGACTGCCTCCAGGGTTTCCAGATCACCCACTCTCTCGGTGGTGGTACCGGTGCCGGTATGGGAACGCTCCTCATTTCCAAGATCCGTGAGGAGTTCCCCGACCGCATGATGGCCACATACTCCGTTGTGCCCTCGCCCAAGGTCTCCGACACCGTTGTCGAGCCCTACAACGCCACACTCTCCATCCACCAGCTGGTTGAGAACTCCGACGAGACCTTCTGCATTGACAACGAGGCTCTCTACGACATCTGCATGAGGACCCTCAAGCTGAACAACCCCTCCTACGGCGACCTGAACCACCTCGTCTCCGCCGTCATGTCGGGTGTCACCACCTGTCTGCGTTTCCCTGGTCAGCTCAACTCTGACCTGAGGAAGCTGGCCGTCAACATGGTTCCCTTCCCTCGTCTCCACTTCTTCATGGTTGGTTTCGCTCCTCTCACCAGCCGTGGCGCCCACTCCTTCCGCGCCGTCACCGTTCCCGAGCTCACCCAGCAAATGTTCGACCCCAAGAACATGATGGCTGCTTCCGACTTCCGCAACGGTCGCTACCTGACCTGCTCCGCCTACTTCCGCGGTAAGGTCTCGATGAAGGAGGTTGAGGACCAGATGCGCAACGTCCAGAACAAGAACTCTTCCTACTTCGTTGAGTGGATCCCCAACAATGTGCAGACCGCCCTCTGCTCCATTCCTCCTCGCGGCCTCAAGATGTCCTCCACCTTCGTCGGTAACTCGACCTCGATCCAGGAGCTGTTCAAGCGTGTCGGTGACCAGTTCACTGCCATGTTCAGGCGCAAGGCTTTCTTGCATTGGTACACTGGTGAGGGTATGGACGAGATGGAGTTCACTGAGGCTGAGTCCAACATGAACGACTTGGTCTCCGAGTACCAGCAATACCAGGAGGCTTCCGTCTCCGAGGGTGAGGAGGAGTACGACGAGGAGGCTCCTCTTGAGGCTGAGGAGTAGAGTGGTCAAGACTAAATATTCCTGCTGGGCTTGGCTGTTTGATCATTGCGAATGCAGGTCAACAACCATGTTATCAATTCGATTCGTACTGCGAGCAATCGGGTCGTTCTTCTATGGGATGCAATGGTGCGGGAATGGTAGTCTTGATTCCCGCGACAAAGCATCGTCACGGGCAACGACACCATTCTCCTTGAAACTTCTTGTTAGCGAAAAGATGCTGTAATCAATTATCATATGTGGAATATGTCTTGTGCTGCAGAGTGTTGTGAATGGAGTGATGAGTGAATTTGATGTTACTAACTTAGTTATTCCCTTCTTGCAGAAGTACAAAGCTGTGCATATTGTATTTCGATTCCATAGTCTTCACCCTGTCATGGTGGTAATTTATAAGTTAGAGAGATTGTCTCAGATTTGGTAGCAATGTAGATCGTTTCGTTGGCACCATTAAAGCCTGGTTTAACTCTATGTCCTAGCACTATATAGAGACCGAAGACATTGCATAACATCTCGGGGTTTTACAAGAAAGATCAATAGTTACAATCTCCTACTATTTAACTATAACTACTACAGATGACATTCTGGTCAATCCTTATCTGACTCAGTCTCAACAAGGATACTATTACTAGTTCTTACGTGGAAGCGCTTTCAGTGACCGTATGTAGCATAGCGTGCATACATATACATACAGCAATTGGCAATTGCAGCTTTAGTAACTTCACCTCACAGCCACACATAGACAGTGCAGCAGCATTAGCCGTAGCCAAAAACAAATATTACCATCTCTCGTTCTGCGCCAAACCGCGCAGAAAATGGAGCGTCACACCAAAACCGCCCTGATCGAACCCAACGTCCCCATGGACGTCCTCGTCCAGGAAACCATGAAAGCCGGCTTACTTCCACCCGTTGTCATGGAATTTCCAGGAATCACCGTCGGCGGAGGTTTCGTCGGGACCGCCGGCGAAAGCAGCAGCTTCAAGTACGGCTTCTTTGACCGGACCGTGCTAAGCGCTGAAGTTGTGCTTGCAGACGGCACGCTTGTGATTGCATCTGCC